GTGGATTGACATAGTGACTGCAGCAATGAGATTGAGTATGTCAGAGACTGTGAGGTTGGCACAGTATAGGACAGAGTTAAGATCTGCTGTTCATAGAGTTGCTATGAGTTGTACTCAATTCAATGGCACTTAATAACAATAACAACATCCCTGCTCCAGGACCTTTGCAGTCATTTCTTCTGCTTGAAATTCTGTGCCTCCATAATTTTATGTCTCTCGCTTATTTCCTTCAAATCTTTGTTTTTTTAATCTTCTTAGTGAGTTTTTTCCTTTTTTTGTGTGTGTATGAGGCTTTTCTTTTTTTGAGGCTTTTCTTGACCATCTATAATTGGAGCAAGGGCACTGTGAATCAAAATCAACTCAACAGCAACTGGGTATTTTGTTTTCTAATCATTTAGTAACATTTTCTAGGTGTTTCATGAAGCTTTGATGGTGCAGTCCATAAGGAGTTGCACTGTGAACCATAAGGTGGATGTCTTTCTGGTGATTGAAATCCACCAGTAGCTCCAAGGGAGTAAAATGAGCAATCCTCTCCCCTTAGGTTTACAGCCTCAGAGAATCTGCTCGAGTGTCAGCTATGAGTCAGTTCCAACTCGGCAATGAGATTTTTTTTTCTGTTGAGAGTTGTTAATTCCAGTTTAGGAAAGTACAATTAAGTCATGAATAATGACTTTACTAAAATTACTTTCTTTTTAAAACTTTTTAAAATGTAAAAGAATTTTTAAAATTCTTTTAAAGCCCCTATATCTTCTTTTGGGTTTTCCTCATAAGTAGTCTATGTCTCTGCAAGTAATAATAATTTCCTCTTTTTTAAGCATCATTCCTGTGGGACTTCATTTTTTTGCCTTAAGAATTTGTTTGTTAGTTTTCCATACTTTTTGATTCAGTCACACTCCCTGGCCCCTTTGACTAATTAGGAAAAATTAGTAAAAATATCTGTTCAGAGTTTCCCTTCAACATTGTTGGGATAAGTAAATAGCTTTCTTAGATTATGGAGTTCATAACCTCAATTTCTTTTTCTTTTATTTTCGAGGGATGTGTATTGATTGCTACATTTTAAAAATATATTACCTATCTTCTGGTAATTTAAAAAATTTGTTACCTGTCTTCTAGCACTGAGAATTTATCACTGTAGAAGACACATTTAATAACTTCTAGAATCCAGTGCTTTTACAATAGAATTTGAAGATTAGCACTTTAATTATCTCTACATTTTTCTTAAGACATACAGAAGAATTAATTTTACTTTTAAACATATTTTACATTATTGTATATACTGGAAATCATTTGTCTCAATAATTTTTAAACACAACTTTCAGTTACATGTCATCATCATAGAAAATACTGTTTCCAACTAGAGTTAGAGTTTCTAAAATTAAGCATTTCTCAAATATGTAACCAAAAAGTTTCCCTGAGGTAGATATACAGCTCTTTCAGAGATACTGTAAAGCTATCAAAAGTGGAGTTATACAGTGTTGTGCCAAGAGGATCTTAGTGCACTGACTGACAAAGTTCCCAGGAGGACTTGGAAGGCTGAAAGCAACATTTTGAGTGAATAGAATAATAAATTCAGGATGAGAGAAATTTTTTTTCTTTCTCATTTGCTCAAAAAATGTAGATAATAGAGATCATTTATTTTTCCTTCTTAGCATTTTAGAGCTGTGCAGATGGGAAAATACATCCCAGTGGAAATTATTTCTGGCAACCTTGAGAAGCTATTCTGCAGCATTTCCTTTAGTGACATATAAAGCATGCCTTCCTTCATTGCAACGTCACCATGATGTGTCACAATAAAGCCAAAATAGTGCACTTTCAGGGAACACTGGGGAAAGAGAGCTTTATTTCAGGCACACACAAAGGGTAATATTTGTTATAAATCTTTTCATTTCAACTCCAAATGTTCTCTGGTCCATGGATCGTTTGCAATGGAGAAATACACAGAATGTGAGATTGAGAAGCAAACGATATGTGTAAATGTAAATGCATTTCTGTGAATTAAAACAATATGTAAAAGAAACAAAATAAGTCTGTGGGAATGCACCTATGCCTAAATCTGCACAGTATGTCAGAGACAGCTTAGATGTTGCATAGCAATTATAGTCAACTGATATTGATGGAGTCCCAAGCACTGAGTTACAAGTCAGCTATTCTGTCAACCTTGTGGTACTCACTAGTCTGATAGTGTAGGATTTAAAGAATTTGACTGCTGACCAAAAGGTCTGCCCTTTAAATCTACCATCTACTCCTTGGTCAAAATGTGAGGGAGTACACTTACAAAATCATTTATGTCTTTGGAAATCCTGTGGGCGTCTCTACTCTGTCAAAGGAGGTTGCTCTACGTTGAAAATGACTGAAAGGCAGTAGACAGTGAGTTATTTTGTTACCACCAGTGCAAAAAAAAATCTGCTTTAACCCATGTTATATATAAATTATTTTATAATAAGAAATTTAATATT